TTTGGATTTAACAATATGAAGATTATTAATGGTGTGACCTTCATAAGCTCTGTTTCAGTGGCATACTGGGAGTGATTGAAGTGGGTTTAAGAAAGAATTGAGTAGAAGAAATGAAGAAAGACAACTTTTTAAAGAGTTTTGCTTTAAAGGACATCAAAGAAATGGAGCAAGAGCTGGAGGGGGACATGTGCCAAGAGAGAGATTTTTGGTTTTGTTTTTTGTGGTATGAGTGATTATAGCATGTTTGCTGGGAATTCTATACAGAATCAATGATTCAGATGGTAGAGACAATTGTTGGAGAGATATCTTTAGCAAACAAGAACAGATAGTTTCAGTGCACAAGCAGAGGGGTTAGCCTTATATTGGATTATGAGCTGATTCAAAATATGGGAAGGCAGGCAGAGAATGGGGCACAGATACAGGGAGGCCTGTCAATGTGACAGTGGGAGTTTGTGAAAAGTTTCTTCTGATTGCTTCTAATTTCTCCATGAAATGGAAAGCCAGGCCATTAGCTTGGAGTGAGAAAGGGGGAGAAGAAGTTGGATATTTGAGGAAAGTTAAGAAGGTAGGAAGTAATTGTCTAGGAGGCTAAAAGAAGGAATGGGCAAGGACAACGTGCAATATGATGGCTGTACAGCACCAGAGGCCTGTTTGAAGTACAGGATTGTAAATTTAGAGACTAGTAAGTATGGCAGCGTATTTTCTCCAGCCAAGTTCAGCTGTGTGGCTAAACAGAAGAGTAGGCAGAGAGACTGAACTAAAGTTGGAGTTTTGCTATGTAAGAGAATGAAGAGTGTCTGCGAGGGAGTGAGTAACCATGGAATTGGAACTGGGTAAAGAGGTAAGTGGGGGCACAAGCAGGGAGAGGCTCAAGTAACTGAGGGCAGTGAAGGTGGGTTGAAGGGTCAGGAAACCGTAGCTCCTCAGAGGGAATGGGGAGTCAAATCATAAACTGGGTACTAGAGGGAGAAAACTAGAAAAATAAGGTGTGGTGGTTACAGAGTGGGATATTTAAAATTGAGATTAGGGAGGAGTGACAGATGAAAAAGACAAGGTCCACTGTATGACAAAAGAGCAAGCAACTAAGATAGGGAGGGACCCAGATTATCACAGTGGAGGGGAGGTCACACTGAGATAGCCAGGTGTTAGAATGAACATCTACAGAGATAGCAAAGTCATCAAGGATCATGGCAGAGGTTATGTTGAAGAGACAGCAACAGTGAGCCAGGAGCTAACGTCTTTTAGGAATGAGGGGGACTGATCAGACAGTAGGTAGATAAAGGTATGAGTGGGTGACATAGTCTGGTGACATGAGATTCAAAGATGAGATTTTTAGGATGGAGGGATTAAAAAGTAGGTTGGAAGAGGCAATGAGGAGCTAAGAAGGGAACTACCCCACCTCCAGACCCATTCATGTGAGGGCCATGGAAAGCAAATAACCAACTCTTCCAAGGCCCTTAGGGAGACTCATGGCCTAGAGAGAGAGCCAAGTTTCAGTTAGAGCAAGAAGGTGAGTCAGTAAGGACTGACAGTTGAGTTCCAGAGGGTATAATGGAAATATTTCATAAATTAGAGAAAGGAGGGACTTAGGGTTAGAGAAAGGGTTATACAGTACCAAATGTTATTCTTTGGGTACTTTTTCCTTTTTAAACATTTCTCAGAAGATGTCAACATTTTCCCATCTCAGATGCCCTTCTCTACGTTCTGCGGTAAAGAGGAAATCCTCTCCTGGCCAGGCTTGTGAACTAGAGTATTGTTTTACAATTAACTGCCAATTCCAAATGGCTCCTGTGGGCCGGCACTCATGGAGAGTCCAGAGAATTACCTTGTCATTTTCTTGGTGCTCCCCCAGACCTAGGACATGCTTGCGCTCTGTGAGGTTTACACCAGCTTCCCAAAGGAGGAAAGGAAAGGGAATTAACATTTTCATCTACTCTGTAATGTAATGCTTTGCATATATGTTCTTACTTAATCTTCACAGTCCTGTCAAATGTGATTGTTCTAATTTATAGATGAGGAGAGGCAATGTCGGTGATAATAATTAGCCTGCCCAAGATCACACAGCCAGTAACTGATGCAGCTGGGATTTAAACCCAAGCCAATCTGACTCCAAAACCTGAGCTCTTTGCACCATACCACATAACCTTCTTCCCAGAAGGCTTGGAGAGTCAAAAATCATCTCTCACAGGAATAAGTTCTCACTCTAGCATTTATGTACAACCTCGAACAGTTGTATGTGAATGTGAAAACCTTACCAGAGCTGGACTCCCTTCATTTCCTCCAGGTGGGGAGTAACCCCTGGGTTTTTACCCTCACTGGCTTTTAGCGTTGTCTGGGGGCTTAAAACAGCCATATCTATCTCTCCACTCCCAGGACTAGGCTTTTGAATATCATGTGTCTCACTCTCACTCTAGAAAGAAATTGTACAGATGTTTTATTTGCTTGTTTATTTATTTTTAGCATTCCATTACCAGCTTAAAGTCCAAATACTCTGAACTATGTGGAGCCCAGTGTAGAAGATTTCAATTTCAATTTAAATTGCTAAGGATTTTTCTGATAGTGTGAGCTTGCCTTTCTCGCCCTGATCTCGATATATACTAGAGAATTTGTGACACAGTGAAGGTTCAACTCCTGATTATGGTACTTGCGTGGCCTTGAACAAACAGCTTGAATTTTCTGAAACTTAATTGGTCACTTCATGTGTAAAAGAGGGAAAATGATACCTAACTCTCCGGCTTATTATGAGGATTCAAGAAGATAATGTAAAAACACCTAAATATAGTTCCCAGTGCATAATATGAACTCAATTTAAATTTATTCAGTAGACCTGTTGACATAGATATTCTATATCTATATCAGATATAGATAAAAATATTGCAAAAAGTGACCATCTATTCTTTGTGAAAGAAAACGAATCATTTGATAGTTTGTTTTTATGCAGAGTTTACATTATAGATCAGCTTGCCAAATTGGGAAATCTGTAAAATGGGTTAACATTGCAGTAAAAGCTTTCACTCTACACTCATAATGTGATTAAGGCAAAAATATTTTATCGCAGTTATTCAAATTCAGTAAAAAAAAATTAATGAGGCATTCAATATCTTGGTAAGGTTAGCATAAAATTTAATTTGTGTTAATTTGCCCAAAACTTAGGAAGCCAGAAGTATACTGTTTTAAAATTTGATTCAATAAGAGGGAAACTAATATTCTATATGATGCTTCTATACATCGATTTAGATTCCTCTATTATCTGTTTCCTTCAGGCAACCAAAAAACTCACCATGAGAATCATAAAAACTGGATCCATGTCAAGTGCTTAGTGTCAGCTAGGTGCTGACAGTCTCCATAGAAGTCAGGCATTTTTATGATATACAGTGAGCTTAGTGTATCTGTAGATTGAATATCTATAAAGGAAAGAGTGATAGGATTCAAGTCAGCCAATGGCTTAGATTCACATTCTGGCTCTGCTGGTTATTGAATGCAGGGCTTGAAGCAAGGTCTGGTTTTCTTCATCTGGAAATGGAAAAAATAGTAACTTATAGGGTCATGATGTTAACTGGGTGAGTTGGTATACCTGAAAATATTTTATATGTTATGTTAGGGATATGATATGCCTTGTGGTGATTAAAAGAGGTTGCTAAATTCAGTGTGAACAGATATCTCACACCGTGTTTCTAAACCATCTCCATCCCTTCTCCCTCTGCCAGGCTGGAGGGCGTGGAGGTCTTTGTGAGTAAATTATGTTCCTCTGGACATGTCAAAGAATGGCAAGTAGCTAAGCTACTTCTTCATAGATTCAGGGTATTTTCCTGTTTAAGTGAGATGGATAGAAAGTTTCAGTGATAATGTGTAGGGTGAGTAAGAATTGTACAAGTGATAATTGACCTGAAGTCATGAGTACAAAAAGTGGAAGGACTTTCCAGAACTTCCCTAACCCTGGCTTTTATAAATATGTGGAAATTGAGGCTCCAAAAGGATAGTTACATTGACCATTTGAAACAAATTTTGACTATAATTTACGATCCATAAAAGATTGAGAAACTTCTGGTGAATATTGCATATGTGAAAATAATATTTTAGCCACAGTCTCTCTCTGAGTTAGTTGGATCTTTCATTCCTGTGTACCAGTTATAATGCCCTAAGTGAAGTTGAGAGACAGTAGTCATGTCTCCCTGCAGGAAGAGATTGACCTCCACAAAGGATCTGTTAAGTTTATTTAAACTAGGGTAACATTATGGAGGAGTGAACTGGTGTCCAGGCCTTGCCACCCTCTGGCATCTAGGGTGAGGCAGCGTATCTGGTGTCTACTCTGCAACTCTACTCTGTTGAATTGCAGAGCTCTCACTGCTCTTTACTCTCGACTCTCTTAATCACAGCCCCAGTTCCAGCCCAGGGCCTCAGCAGTAATGACATCCAAGATGATCCTTCCACAGGGATTCTTCCTAACAAGTTCAGCCGTGGAAATATGTAGACATTTACATGAATAACAAATAAATGCTTTGCTAAATCTCACTCTTTGGGACATGCTAGGTTCCTTCTCTTCTCAATTTATACAGTTCTCAAACCAAGGTGAAGACACAAACCTGCTTAATAGTGTCATTATAATATGTTTCATGCCACTAGTCTAATTTTCAAAATGTGCTGGGAGATCTTCAAAAATTATCTCACATGTAACTTTGCGGAATTCACTACATCATTTGTTCCTAATGCCAGGTGTTATCCAAGTTTTGCATATTTACCAAGTTAAAAGAACCCTGCCTTTATGTTGCAAAATCGTCAGTAAATTGCTCCATCATATTGTTTAACCCTTAACATAGCATCAAGGAGATTTTCAGGACTCCTCCAGGGAACAACTTTGTCACATTTTATTTGCTTAGAATGTTATTTAACATTTATTTAGGGCTCCCTTTGGAAAGTGTAGGGGGTAAATTCCAGTGCCATACATAGCACATATACAGATATTTCTCCCTTGTCTGATTTTGTTTTTTGAATCTATATAGGCAACAGCCTCAGATTCCAATCACCACAGGAACAGGTGTTGTGTATCCTGGTGCTATCACTATGGCAACTACCACACCATCGCCTCAGATGACATCTGACTGCTCTAGCACCTCGGCCAGCCCGGAGCCCAGCCTCCCAGTCATCCAGAGCACTTATGGTATGAAGACAGATGGCGGAAGCCTAGCTGGAAATGAAATGATTAATGGAGAGGATGAAATGGAAATGTATGATGACTATGAAGATGACCCCAAATCAGACTATAGCAGTGAAAATGAAGCCCCGGAGGCTGTCAGTGCCAACTGAGGAGTTTTTGTTTGCTGAATTAAAGTACTCTGACATTTCACCCCGCTCCCCAACAAAAAGTTATTAAAGAGCCCGCATGCATTTGTGGCTCCACAATTACATCAGCAGAATGGTCTTAATTGTTTCATAAAGTGTGAGACAGATTAAGTTTTCCCTGATTTTTCATGAACTTGAGTTTTTTGTCGTTATTGTTATTGTTGTTGTTGTTTTTTTTAATTTAGGTGAAGACATATTAAATATGAGACACCAGGACTTGAAACTTATCTCAACCCGTAGATGTCTTACAAGTCTTATATTTTTGTCTTACTTTTTTTTCTTTTGGATGTTGATAAAGGTTTAAGTTACTGTTTTAGATGGGGTTAAACATTCTCACTCAGGTATGCTGTGCCGGCCTACAGGTTGTGAATGTGTTTTTATTCTGAATTATTTTAGAAAACAACTGAGGATTTCATATTGTGAAACAGAACAAGTCCACGGCGTGTGCAGCTGCATGTAGAGCATATTCAAAAGGCCTCGGAATTCCAGTTTTCCATGTGTAGAGTTAAACTTTGAATGTGCCAAACTTTTTCATAACTTTTGAATCTTAATATTTTGAAAGTCTTAAAGGAGACACTGCAAAGTCTTAGACAATCTTTGGCATCTTAAAATAAAATAGCAAACCAATATTTTTTTCCAGAAAATGGTAAAGTACTCAGGAATCTGGAGACAAGATATTGTAAGGAATGAACAAGTTTGCCACAGTGCATGGACCCAATTGTGTTTGCCTGTTGACGTGCCATCAGTGTGTAATGTGGTATGACGTACACACACCAGAGCGACCGCCACACTAGATATCGACCGAGTGGTCTTCTCTGCCTGAGACCACCTCTCACTACATCCATTATCCCTTTGCCTTTAACCCTGACATTCAGTCTTAACACATTTTCTCTTAAATAATTTATTCATTCCAGAATGTCAAGGGTCCACTTACTATTTATTTTTTTAAAATTGTTGGTGGCATTAATTTAATAATTCTTTTTTTTCACCTTCCTTCCCCAAAGAACTTTTCAGTCCTTTTCACCTCCTTCTCCTGTGTACATAGTGATTTTATGTCCCCAGAACGCCTGGAAGCATTTCTGAAACCAAGATATTATTAAAAACCTATTATTGTTTTTAATCATGAGTATATATCTGGCTGCAGGGCTGTGTATTGGGATATAGGTATATAGTCTTACACTTAAACAGGTATGCCCCTGAGGTTCACTGTGACCTCAAATCTTTTTCCAGAATTTTCCCCTAATTCAGTTCACAAGTGGTAGGGTCTGCATCAGTGGCATTTCCCCCTGAATTCCATTCAGCAGCAAGGGTCAACAGTGGTGACTGCCAGGCAGGAGAGGCCTGTGGCCAAACCTGAAGCCCAAGGCTTGTGGGCCATGCAGGAATCTCAGTGAAGCTGTCATGGGCTGGCATCTTTACGCTGAGTTGCCTTGTCCCAGCTGGCACATCCAGGGAGTTCATTGCAAAATCCCCAGGATGCAAAAAGCCACATGACAGCCTCAGAACAAAGATGGTGGCAAATAGTCGTCATACATCTAGAGAATGAAAGAAAACCATAAGGGAGGAGAAGGAGGGGAATACATTCCCTATATGGGATGTTCCTACTGTTAACTCTGGGGAACAGATAGCTCCGGGGGCAGCAGATGAGTTCCTCTGGCTGACTTTCTATCCGTGGCCACATGGGGACATGCCTACGTGTGAACAAGATGAACTGCACTTGTCACACGAGGATTTCTTTGGAGACATGCTGCTGGGGTGGGAAGCAGTGAGGTTTTATTCTTCATCTCCTAACTACAGGGAGTTCTGCCATGCCATTTTGCCCTTCCTGAAACCAGGACAGGTTGCCTATCGGGAGTCTTCACCCAGAGAGGTTTAGTGGGAGAATGTCAGTGAATGGGATAGTTCACCTCATGGGACAACCCAGAATCTGATCACCAGGACATAGGAACGGCCCCATCAGATTTCTTGAGCCATTTTGTCACTTGGAAGAAAATAGTGTACCTTCATATTTATTTAAGAGTGCTCAAAGCCTAATAGCAATAAACAGGTCTAGCCAAGAAATTACCAGCTATTCCATTAGCTGGGAGTGCTCTCTATAAGCTGATTAAGGTACTGATAGGAACGCTTTGTTATTCATGTTGGTTGGGGATTAGAAATTTGTTTTTGTACATTTATTTCAAATGAGGAGGAGGTCATTTTTTTCTCAAAAAATGAGTATTTATTATTGTCTTACTGATTTCTTTGATTATATACCTATCCTCCTCAGTTCACTCTTGTGTTTTTTTTTCTTTCTTTTTGGCTTTTGCTTTTGCTCTCTCTCACTTCTTTCTTATTTTGTTGCATTGGTAGAGTGTTGTATGGCTAGCATTGTATTGTATGTAATTAATTTTGCACAAAGGCAAACATTTAGCGTAGTAGGTTAATTTTGTTTGTATTTATGACCATGCCAAAATAATATTCTGGGCTGGTGGAGAACAAAGGACTGTTCTTTAGGACTGAAACTTGATTTTGCTCGTAGTAAGTAAAAAAAAAAAAAAAAAAAAAACAAAAAACACACACACTCACAGATGTTGTTTCGTAAGTGTTATAAGCACTGGATATAAATGGTATTTTTTATCACTTCTGACTAATGTGAAACTGTTGTACGAAAACTACATGAACAAAAGTCATCTGTTTCGACTCGTGTGGGCTTGCCTCACAGTTGCCGGATTTGAGTCATTTTTATGTCTTGTTATTTCATTTATTTATGCAAAATACATGTGTGTATGAACACTTTGTTTTAGCTCCAGCTCTGCCTCAGTACTGGGGTTCAGTTACTTTTAGCCATGTTCTTAAAAATGAAAGGCTATTCAGGAATGATCTGATTGTAAACGCCTCTTTCATTGGATCGAACAGTAATGCTGTATCTGAATCTAAATTTTGTGTATAAGCAGTTTATTTATTAGCCAAGTTTGGCTCTAAATATTCATGGAAATTAAGAATGACAATCATAGGGATCACTTCATTTTATTTTCAGTGGGGCTTAAACAAAGTTTTTATGACTTTACCATCTCATTTTAGATTTTTTGAATATGTAAATATAACATAGAAATAGAATTTATTTTTGGTTCGTGAATACTTAGTGAGATATAAGTTATGTATTTCCTTTTTGTTCTCTATCCATAGATGTTGGTCCAAACTGAAAGTTGATGAGTCACTGTGCCTCTCGGGGTAGTGAGTTATCAGCTACAGTGAGTGAGAGAGCAGTGTTCGGCCTGCAGCTGGGACAGCAAAATGCTTCACCAGGGTTCTCATGCAGTTCAGAATCCACTGTCCACAGATCTAGACATTTCCCTTTTTTCTTACAGAAAGTTGATGATTGGAAATACTAAATTTCCGCTACGGTTAGGAGACAGTTTGCTTTGTGAGTCCACATAAATCTTCTAAGATATTTCTGTGACCATTTAATAGCAAGAAACATGAATGCCATTACAAAGGCAAAAATCCACCTCTGAGACTGGCCATTAATAAAAGTCCCACCATGTCAGTTTAGATTCAAGAATGTTAAGCAACTTTGTTTTTGCGGTGCTCCCTATTTCATAGTATCTTCAAATCAAAGATAAAAATTATCTCCATTTTGTTGAAGAACTTACAGGGTCAGGGTTCTCCTTGTCACTTAGAATTGGGACACTGCCAGACAATCCTCTCCTACAAAAAAAAAAAAAAAAAGCCATATGGAATGGAAGGAAAAGGAGAAAAGAAGGAAGAAAGGAAAAAAGAAGGAAGGGAGAGAGAAACAAAAGGTCGCTTTGCAGATATGAGCTGCCAGGCTGACAACTTGTCTATTTCATTGGCAGATATGAAGCAGTGTCTTTTCCAGGAAGGTACGGAAGCTCTGTTGTTTTCACACATATCCAGCTCAGCCTTTTACAAGCACATCAGTTTGCTTCATTAGGTATTTGATACTCTCCAGCCTTGTCCTTAGGCCTGATTTGATTTGCCAGGGTCCTGACACCAAAGCCCAGGCCAAGTTCTAAATTCAGGTGTGGGCTCACAGTGCTATTGAGCTTGTCGAATTCTGGCCTCCCCTGAACATTAGCCCCACAGGAGCCTGAGGGTGTTTGAAAAGGGCGTGATCACTCTAGGGCTGAAATTAAAGGCTGCTTTCTTTTCTTTCCGAAGCCAGGCTGCTTCTTCGGAGCACACCCTCCTTAGCCAGGAGCACAGGCACTAGCTGAAAGCAGGGATTGTTTTGGGAAAGCCCATTTACCCTCAGTAGGAAGGCAGCCGGGTCACTTGAACAGCATAGCTGAGGCTGCTTCTCTCAATTTACTCATTTTGCAAAGAATTGACCTCTACCAACTCATTAGGGAGAGGAAAAAGAATCACTTAGTAATTTTAAATCACGTGAGAAGTCCTGTACCAAGTGCCAACAACTGCAAATAAATGCAGCTAGAGGAATGTATTGAAATTGTTACTGGGTCTTCCTTTTTAATGAGAAAATGACAAAAATAGTTGCTGTAGCCCTGCCTGTGTACACGTTTGTCTAAGAATTGAGTTGGCACTTAAGCTCACTTCTCAAAGTATAATAATATTGTATGACCTCATTTGTCCTTTCACAAAAGCACTTGCATCATTTCCTTAAGTCATCTGCTCCCTGACATGTTTTCTTCCCTAATAAACAACTTCTGTCTGTTATTCCTGCCGACGATGTTCTGTTTCTGATGCCATATCCTATTGAGCGTTCCCCTGTATTAATATCATTGAAAGTATTGATATGCAAACACATTTCCTTTTCATCCCCATTCTGTCTTTCCCGTTGGGGACAGATTGCTTTCCAAAAACTCATGAACAAGTATTTGGAATGCTGGTACCTTTGGGGCAGAGGTAAGGGTGGGCGGGATGGGGGCAGAAAGGTAATGCTTAATGCACATACTCTGCTAATCAGTGTCCGTGGCAATATGAACGCTTGAAGAAAACTCAGTGACATATCTTGCTCAGTAGATTCTTATTCCTGAAGAACCACAAGCATAAAGTGAGGCCTCAGTGCTGGTGCTCTTGGAGTATGGGGAATGTGCAAATATTTAACTGTTTTGTATGCTGCACATTGCAGGCCTGCTCATGTGCATTCTCCCTTTGTCTTCCTTTGTCATATGTGTTTTTGCTTTTTTGAAAGTGTAGTCTTTATTGTACCCTCCTCCAGCTTGTAGCAAATTAGAATGCTTAGCATTTATGTTCATTCATTATTGTATTTGCCATGTAAAATTTTTATTACCTTAGACAAGCTTATAAGCTGTTACTACATAACTTATCTTACTGTAACTCTTTTATTTCCCCCTACGTTGTAATTTGTTTGTGATGTATATTGTGAAATTGTATTCTATGTTAATTTAATCAGCACAATTCACTGACATGCTGGACTGACATGCTGGCTGCTGTTTCAAAGTGTAAAGTTTGTGTAGGGCTGTTGGGACAACTGCAACTCTGTTGTCAAGGTACTGTGCTTTGGTTCCTATAGCAACACTGGGTGTGGCCCTTGAATTGCTAAGGGCATTTAATACATCCTGGAGCAAAATTTTAACTGCAGATTTTCTTTGTAGAAATTCTATGTATAATGCAGGTACCTACTTGGCCCATGGCTGGTAACTATTTGGGCAATTAGAAAAAAAGAAAAAAACATAAAAACTAGTGTCTATTGCTGCTTTGAATATGTTTGAAAGTCTGAAAATGTAAATAGTTTATCAAAAAAAAATCTTGTACAGTCCAGTGTAAAGTTTTTAAATGACCTTAAGGGTTGCCATCACATCTTTCTCACACTCTCCTCTTGATAATAATAATAATAAAAAGTTTGCTAAGGATTAAAGAAATGGGAAAAAAAATCTCTTCAAATTTACAAGAATGAATCATTGTTCTTAGCTTTGTTGCATACACAAACTTCTTGGATTTCGTTGTGCAGTATTGACGTGAGATAAAGCTCAACATTGAATAATCTTTCAGTGGTACTTTTCAAAGTCTTCCCCTCCTCTGCCTCATAATTAAGGGAAAAGACAAATTGAAAGACACACTGTCTTTATCTATCCTGGTGTATGTTGGCACCTTAGCTACTTTTTTTTTCCTTTTTGCACAAGGTGCTTTCCTGATATGTTCAACATGCCATCTTTGGGTGATAATGTATATGCCGTGATGGGGCTCAGGCCCCTAAGGGGAGTGTCTATAAGAACTGCCTATTTATGCTCATTTACCTCAAGACTGTCCTCTCTACCCTAATCTAGTTGTCATCACTCCATCTTTTGTACTGCTGTTGACACTTACAAATTAAAGATAAATTTTGTTTTATGACCTCTGTGTATGGCCTTGTCTGTGCCCTGCCAAGTATCCCCACCACGGAGCCCCAGCCAGTCCTGAATGTGCCACCCTCTTGCTGCTGGAGCCTGCAGAGCTCTCCTACCCTCCGTCATTGCTTCTGCCTGGCCCAAAAGTAGGTCTCCGAAAGCCATGGAACCCCTTAGCCTGGAAAGATTTGTCTGCTCTTTTCATTGTGGAGCACACCCGGCTGCAGCAGGAAATACTTGTGGATTTAGAAGGGAGGAACAGGACGCAAGGTGGATTTTTGTCAAGAGAAGATGAGAGAGCATGGCATTGAAATTGCCTCTTTACCTGACTTCTTCATCTGAGTGAAACAGCTTAGAACCTTTTGGAGTATGAACAACTCTCAAGGGCCAGCCTCTCATCTGACACCACCTTCTGCAGGCCTAGCAGCCAAGAGTGGAAAATGCTGCACTTATGGAACCTTTCCCTCCACTGTGGTTGGCAGTAGTTGGCTGATTACTCAGTACCTTCTGCTTCAGAGAAGAAAGAGCCCATCTTTTTGTCCAGCAATGAGTTGCATCCAGAGTGAAACTCGGTTCCCAGTGATATCAGCTTCTAAAATGTTGCCAAAGCTATTTCACTGTGCTCAGAGTCTGAGTGGGGACAGAGGGTGGATAGTGGGATAAAGCAAGCAGGGCGCTTAAGGAAGACTTGCGAAACCAGCCAAGCCAGTCCTGTGAGTCTAGAGATGAGTAACCAACACCTAGGGAGTGAAACGAAAGTGTTCAAGAGAGAGGAGAGGCCCAGCCACTCCTTTGGATATTTCCCATTAAAAATGCCTCAGGAAAAAAAAAAAAAAAAAGCCAATAATATGTGGGACTGACTTTATTCCAGTCACATTGCAAGTTAGACGCAGGCTCCTGTAAGTTCTGAAAATCTAGCATTCCAGGACCTCCCTCTTGCCCCATGGCTTTTTTAAAGCCCAGGTAAGTACAGGGCATTGGAAAGAACAGGGACTTTGGAGTCACACCAGCCTGGCTCTGCCACCTGCCAGCTGCGTGACCTTCCCTGAATAACACCTCTGAGCCACAGTCTTCTCCTCTATAAGATGGGGTAACAAGTCTTACCTGTCAGGGTACTGGGGGAATGAAAAGAAATAGCAGGTGTAAAACATCCAGGAGTGGATGGCACACAGAAGGCATGAATGCCCACTAACTCCTCTGACCAGAAAATGCCTAAGCTAGGGAGGTTGGCTGGTGTCACCACTGAGCAAAATGAAGGAGGTGCCTGAGGCCTTCACTCAGGGCCTGGTCACATACAGGAAGGCCTCAGGGCCCTCCATCTGAGCTAGTCTCCATGCCACAGGTTTTCTCACCCCCAGCTCATCCTTACCATTGCTGCAGTCCTTCTTTCTAAGCCTGTCTCCTCTCTCTCATCCTTCTCTAAAACCTTCTGGCTTTCTGCTGCTGACTAGATAAAGTCCCAGCTTCCTGCCCTGTCAGCCAGGCCTCAACAGACCTGCCAGCCCCTTTTTCCACCATTACCCCACACACCTTCAGTGCTCTCTGCTGCTCTCATACCCCCAGTCTGTCCACCACCCTGGGGCTTTTACTTCTCCTTTAGCATGGAAAGAATCTGTCCCCTTCTCTGTTTGGGAAATTCCCAGTTATCTTTCAAAAGCCACCCAATATCACTACTTCCTGAGACCTTCTTGGCTCCCCAGTTTCAAGCTCTCCCTTGGGAGAGAGCAAAGAGCTCTTTGAAAGAACCTCACGATCACTATGAGCACATTGTAATGATGTGTCTCTGTGTCTGTCTTTCCTGCTAGATGACAAACTGCTGAAACCAAAAACTGTACCTTGGCCTTCCCTGCCCCCAACACAGTGCTTGGCACATAGTAAGTGCTCTACACTTGTTTGTGGAAGGAATGTATGAGGGATTGCAACTTGGTCTCCATGTGTGGTTTAGATGCCTGTGAGTATCGGGGTCTCAGGTGGTGAGGCTGAGGGATCTTGTAGGCATACCTTGGTATTACTTACTTCATTTGGAGAACATTATTAGTTAAAAACATCTCTATTCATATTGGGAGAGCCATTTTTTCAAGTTGGCATGATAGGCACAAGGCACTGAGAGTCTCTGTGCTTTTAGGATGACTCACTGCAGAATGCCTGAGCCTCTGAACCCAGAGCCGCTACTCTATTCTTCCTCCTAGGCATCCTGGCTGAGGTATGAAAAGGACAGACCAGGAAGGGGAAGCTTTTCTCAGTTTTCCGTACCTTTTCCTTGACATCCCAGATACCCTACAACTAGTCTGTTCAGAGACAAGGGGTTCTTGGAAGCTTGATCTCTGGGCCTCCATCATGGAAAGGGAAGGAGACCAGCTGCCTCTACCTGCTGCTGAGAGCCAGGGCAGTGATCTCATGAGGCCGCAATGTGGACAGCTGTTTACTTAGTGTCCGTTCCTTCCTCTTTGGTCCAGGTAATGACGCCTTCTCTCAGTTGTGCTCTAGAGCCTTGCTGGCGCAAAGTGTGGCTCACAGATCAGCAGCTACAGCATCACCTAAGGCATATTACAGTATGGGCTAATATGGCATGGGCTATACTGAGTAGAAAGCTCCTAGCAGTTGAGACTCCATGAACTGTCATCTACCTCCTTAGTCAATGACACATCATACATGAGATAGGATTTTCCTCATTTGAATTGTGAAAGCCCAGAAGTAGGACATGACCCACCCAAAGTCACACACAGATTAAATGGCAGTGCCGGAACATGCACTTGTATTTTCTAATTCTAAACACAGGTGAACGTGTCGCATATGACCTCACAATAGTCTGTGAAAATTGCTCATCACTGGGACAGCCCTGGATCTAGAGCTCAGTTATCACCAGGTGTCCTGGACTGTGTCACACTGTGGGAACACTGAGGCATCTAGGGGCAGTGGCCTCTGGCATCTCTGACTGTCATCCTCTACTCTGGCTGTGCCCAGTGCCTGGCCCAAAAGAGACGCTGGATCAATAGGGTGGCTCTCTGGAGAGCTTGTTCAGAGCCCTGCTGTTAGTTAACCACCTAGTAATTTTTCCATTTTGACACCAGGCTGAGTGGCCATGGAGTAGGTCAGTGAGAATATGTGTAGGTTCTGGGGGCCCCATTCCTGAGTCTGGGAGGAGGACACCCAGTGAAGAGAGTGATCAGGGAAGGTGTCTGAGCTAGTGTCACCCGGGGTCCTAGACCACATGTGGATTGGTTATCCACTGGCTTCCTAAACTCACCCCAGGTAGGCACACTGACTTCCCAGCCTGTCTCCCCCACCACTGTCTCCCCTCAGCCACTAAAGACTGTGACCTCTGTCCCTGCCACCTGTTCTGATTGGTTTAGCCACTACCAGCTGCCATTCCCACTTCCAGCCCTATCCTTTCCTCTCTGTTCCCAAAACGATCTTCCTCTCACAGATGCAGGCAGGTTGTGAAAGACACAAGATCAAGTCTATGCTGTTTGCATTTAGGCAACGGCCTTCCTGATGCCCCCAGGTCCTGACGAGCCTTTCCAGTCCCATCTCCAGGAGGCTCCCCACACAGACACAGCACACTGCTTGCTGAGATCTGCACAGGCCACACACTGAAATAATTCCTGTGCCTAGAAGTCCCTCTCTCACTTCCACCAACCATCACACCCCCATGCATTAAAGCCCAGCCCAAACATCACCTCCCATGGGAAGCCTTCCCTCCACATTCCTCTTCTACCCTGGGAGTGTGAATTGCACTGAAATGGTCTGATTGTATTTTGTTACGTGTCACAATGAATCTGATTGTCACACTCACTTTTTTATCCAACAGTCCTGGCACATAGTAGGTGCTTTATCAATGTGTGTATTTTTTAATTTTAATTTTTTATATGAACACTCCTGCTGTTCTTTGTGTATGTTATTTTTTTAAATGAAATAAATGAAGGAATGAATTCTTTCTACTTGAACTCAAAGTACTGCACACTCTACCACTGGCTAGTTTTTCACCCTGATCTTCTAACCCCATGGCTTCTAGCTCTCTAAACACATCAGACTATTAATTTGAAACATATTCTCCAACCTCTTTGGGCTACAAGGGTCCCCTGTCTCAACTGCCTTTCCCCCGTATCTGTCAATCACCATCTTCCCTTTCAGGTCCATCTGCTTCAACACCACTACAAAATACTAAGAGTCTATTACGCAGCGAAAAAGTTTTATGAGCATTTCATTTGACTCCTAATAATGGCTCTAAACATTAAACATTATTATCCCTGGTTTACAAAAGATTAAACTGAAACTCAGAGAAGTCAAGCCACTTGTTCAGGATCTCCCAGTGAGTCAGAATGTCTCCTTCTGTGTGAACAAGCTGCCTCTCAGGCCTCTCGAGCTCAGAATGAACCTCTTCTTCCTTCTAGTTTGGAGTTCCTCAGCCTTTTCATTATCACCACCTAAGGAAGCTTTTAGGACATTTTTTTCCTCCTAGTAGCCCTCCTCCCCCCATTAAATGGTAATGTCACAGATTTACCATCTGCTTACATACCCTTTGTATATCTGTCCTTTATTTTTTAAAAGTAAGATTTTTTTAATTTCCTAAGAACAAATTTTTCTCCCTTATGGAAGGTGGCGTTATCCTGTTGAAAATTCCTGTACTACTGGGTGCAGTGGCTCGTGCACGTAATCCCAGCACTTTGGGAGGCCGAGGCGGGCTGAAGTCAGGAGTTCAAGACCAGCCTGACCAACATGGAGAAACCCCGTCTCTACTAAAAATACAAAATTAGTTGGGCGTGGTGGCACATGGCTGTAATCCCAGCTACTCGGGTGGCTGAGGCAGGAGGTTGAACCTGGAAGGCAAAGGTTATGGGGAGCTGAGATTGTGCCATTGCACTCCAGCCTGGGCAACAAGAGCGAAACTCCATCTCAAAGAAACCAACCAACAAACAAAAACAGAAAATGCATGTTCTATATCACCTTCTTTGTGAAGTGTGGCCCTTACTGTAGAGTTTGTAATTTGTTCCCCACTCCACTGTG